CCCCTACCACTGCCCAGGCCCCGCCAATTAAATCAATTAAATTGGACCCTCTGGGGGCAGCCGCTGAGGGGTTGGCAGTTGTAAAAGTTCCCCTAGTGATTCCCTGTGCATCCGGAGTGGAGACCCCTCTAGATTCAGGCATGGGGCTTCCACCCTAGCTCCAGCTTGTGTGGCTGTGTGATCTTAAGAAAGTCACTCACCTTTCCGACTCCCGTTTGCAAACTGCTATGGCATGATGCCCATCTTCCTGATTAAGAGCAAACAGAAGGCTCAGGACACCGGAGCCCCCCTGCAGACCAAAGAACAGGCATCATGAGATGTGATGGAATATGGAAAGATTTTTATAAGCTTGGTGGACTGTGGTTATTAGATTCAAAAGAATGGTTTTCTGGGGAAGGAAATCCAAAAGAGAGGGGATGTATGTATACGTAGAGCTGATTCACTCCGCTGTGCAGGAGAAACTAACACAACACTGTAAAGCAACTATACTCCAATGAAAATTAATTATAAAAAATGATTTTCTGTTTCTACAAGGAATCCGAAAAAACAGGTGATGGCCGTTCTTTACTAGAAGCCTATCTGGAATAAGCCTGCCCCTACAGAAACCACTTTTGAGCAGTGAGGCCACAGCACAGTGGCAGGCACACAGTAGGTCCTCAGTGAATGTTGGCTTAGTGAATGCAGATGGGGTGGGAGGCCAGTGTCTTTGAATGCACCCTGCTATGTTAAAAAGCCTGTCAGAATAGCCCTCGGCCTCCTGTGGAGGGCCCCTGAGTCCAGGCCAGGTTGGTGAGCACAGCTGTGCCCGCAGAAGTGCAGCCTCGCAGCCTCTTGGGGCCTGCCGAACTCTGCGGGACAGGGAAGCATTCCCAACGTGCCAGGAGAGCCAAGGCAGCCCTGGCTTTGTGGTTCAGAGAATGTCAGAAGGATCATTTTCTTCGGAAAAAAATATTCGTTAAGGCAGGTCTTTCCCTCTTAGCAAAAAAACCCCCAAACAAACAAACAAGTAATTTCCTCTAGCAGTCTTAGCCAACATTTTTTGGCAAATCATCACTGGACAGGGAGACCTGAGGGGCATGAGTGATCACTGTGGCAAAGGGTCAGCTGAAGAACAAAACAGCAGGCAACAGGGAGCCACGGTGGGTTCTTGAGTAGGGGAGGGGCCTGGTAAACTCAGGGCTACAGCGCGGATGGGAGAGGGTGGAAGAGCAGAACCTCAGCAAGCCACTAGGGCCTTGGCTCCCTAACTGTAGGAAATCGCTGAGTCCTGTCATCACTTGGGCCACCTGCCCCTCTGACAGCTCCAAACTTCCACCCCAAGACCCCCTCCCCCCAGTCCAAATGCCTCGCCGTACGGTTTGTCTCACAGACAAGTTGCTGAGCATAAGACAGTGTGTGCCCAGCCAGCCACGGGCCATCCCATTTCTCTCGTGCGAAGCCTTGGGGCCAGAGGACCTCCTCATCTTGGAAGATCCTGTGAATGGTGGCAGTTGTCATCTTTCTAGGAAACCTGTGGTAATGATAATAATAATGAGAATCATAACTGCCACTTACAGAGAATATCCATGTGACTCTGAATCCATCCAGGTCCTCACCCTGACCTCACCTTGGTCACTCTTCCCTTGTTCACTCTTCCCCAGGGCCCTGGCCTGATGCTGTTCTTGAACTTGAGAGGCAGGTTCCTACCTCAGGACATTTGTACTTGCTGTTCCAGATCCCTGGGATGCTCTTCCCCTCGGTGTCCTCAGGGCTCCCTCCCTGACTTCATTTAGGTCCCTGATGAAATATCACCTTCTCTCTAACACAGCTCCCACCCACCCTCTCTCCCTCTTGATTTTTTTCACCTACCACTCCTGACATATACGTTTCTTCGCCCGTTTGGCTCCAGCCACCTCACCCTTGTTTATGAGCTGCTGGGAACAGGGACTTGATTTTGTCACCACTTCTTTCCCAGAGCTTATTGCTGACTGGACCGTCACAGGCACGCAGAGGACCTCTGTGGAGTAAACAATACCGGGGCAGGCACATGAGAGTCACCCAGTCCTACATCGGTAAACAGACCTCGGTAAAAACCAACCCTCTGAAACCCAGAGGCGGAGGTGGTGACCTTGAGGGTCCTTGCAGCTCCAGGACTCATGGCTCCGTGGGGTGAGAATACAGTGGGAGTCTGTACAGCCCTCTGGATTTCTGCGGCTCCTTTCTTTAGGACACAGGCCCCGGCACCTCCCCAGCGTGGGAAACGCCTTATCCCCATGGTTACGAGGGCCTCCTGCCTCTCCCCACCTGCCACGGGAGACCAGCAGGTCCTGGCCACCTGTGTCCACCTGCCAGCCCCTCTCAGCGCACCGCCTGCATTATTTCCTCTCTGGCACTTTTCTCTATTTGCAATCACCTCTCTTCTGTATCTGTTTACTTGTTTAGAGTCTGTCTTTCCATCTAGAGCAGAGCTGTTCCTCAGAAATATAATACAAGCTACGAACAGGAGCCACATAAGTGATTTTACGTGTTTCAATAGCCACATTAAAAAAAGAAGAAATAGGAAATACTCTTTTTAAAAACATTTTCTCTTTAACCCAATATATCTAAAAGATACATAATCATGACATGCGATCCATATAAAGTACAGGATGTTTTACATTCCTTTTTTCTCACTAAGTCTTGGAAATTCCGTGTGTGTTTTACACTCACGGCGCATCTCATTTCAGATTTAGCCACACTTCCGATGCTCAGTGGCACACCTAGAGGTAGGGACCTGGGCTCTCCTGCTTGCACTGGGTCCCCAAGCGCAGAAAGGAGCACTCAGGATGCAGAGCAGGTACATTTCCCTACCAATGAGGGAAAGTCAATGTCGGTGCGTGGGTCCGTCACTGGGTATCCTGGGAGCAGGGGCCGGTGGAGCAGATGCGTGTATATGTGTGTGTGAGTGAGTATACCTGTGTGCAAGAGAGTTTGGGTCTCTGGAATCAGACCAACCTTGGGTCAGTCCTTCCTCTGGCACTTCCTTTGGGCCTTGGTTTTTATTTTTTCTGTGAAAGTGAGGATGAGGTACCTTCTTACCGCATAGTATAGTTGGGAGGATTAAATAGATAAATAGATAGTGCATGTAAAAGCATAGGGCACTGGCCGGTAAATAGGAACTTCCTTTTCTCCCTCCCTCCCGCCCTTCCTTCCTTCTCAGCTCACAGGGCTGTTGTAAAAATCAAATGAGACAATGCCGTGATAGAGCACAGAAAACTACAGCCCTGTGTGACGGCCGCATCACTCACTCATTCAGTGGTTGTTCGTGGACGGAGGGCCCATCGCGCACTGACCCGTGGGCACACTTCACGCTGAATCCGCAGCCCCTACCGTGGTGCCTATGTTGACTTAACAGGTGCTCAGTGTAAATGTTTACTGAGAGAATGGGTGGGTGGGTTCTGGGGAGGTTGTAGCCTCTGCAGCTGTCAGTGCTTCTGGAAGCCACAGGAAGGCTCCACCTGTGGGAGAACCTGGGCAGGGGAGGTGGGAGCGGGAGGGGTGGGGGAGGGGAGGGGAGGGGGAGGGAGGGGGGGGGGGGGGGAGGGGTGGGAGCGGAAGGGCGTGGTGGGGGGAGGGAGTGTAGAGGGGGGCGGGGGAGAGGGCGGGGGGGG